TCCTGTCCCTCCTATACAGCCTATAGCCCTCAGCATTCACCGCCCACTTGATCTGGTACTATATTCCTGTGCATGTGTTTTCAGTGTTGAAAGAGGCCCTCAGTGCAGTGGGCATGGATTTCCTTTTAAAATGACTCTGAAACTGAAGTTTTAAATTTTCAGCTTTTTGTTGTTTTGCTTTTGGAGATTTCTGATATGGGAAGTATTGTAATTATGGCTCTACAGATATGCATGCTTACTAATGTATGCCGTGAGTGCAGACTGAAGTCTAATTTTTAGATTTCCCAGTAGATTCTGAAATAAATCCTGAAAGCTTAATGCAAAGTTTGCACACTGTTAACACAAAAACAAACTAACTCTTATTTTGGGTTGAATGTTCCTATACAACATTTAAGCTTCCTGCTTGGCAAAGATGGTAGTTCCACAGCTTCTTCTGTTTACAGTTTTATGTTATAATTGTTACACTTACATAAAGTGATTTCTTCATAGTACAAGTAGCAATAGCGCTGTATGTGTTCTTTCATTCTTGAGAAGAGCTGTCTTCTGGGGAGGATCACAAAGTTATGTAAGGCTGAGTACAGACAGTAAAAAAAACAAAAAAAATGAAAACCAAAAAAAGAACAACCCCAAGGCCAAATTGAATCAGTCTTTGCAGCTTAGTTTAAGCTGTATAGATTGAACTGATAAGTAAACAGACATTCACTCTTGATTCTGGAAGTACAGCCACATGCCTACAGTGGCTCAGGCCAGAAGCCACGGGGCACTAGAGAATGCCTGATACTATACCCATTCAGGTTTATCTTAAATCAGTGTCAGCCATATTTAAAGCGGTTTATGTGCACTGAACTTCTGTTGTGTTACAAATCTGAACCAGTTTCAGATCACTTATACCAGTTTGTATAACTTCTGTCCCTAGCCTAAACGACAGAAGTCCATGCTGTCATTGCCTGTACTCAAATTCCTTTACTTGGTGTAGCTAAAGGCTGAACAAAAGCTTGTTTAGATGTTAAAAAATCTTGTTTAAGCTGAGTGGAGAGAGCTATAGAAAATATTCTAGTAGTACAATCATATCTTCATAAAGATGTTCTGTTTTAAGAAACGAATGATCTTCATTTTTAAAATATCCCTGTAGAGTCATTGATTTTTTTTCCATTGCTACATCAGTAAGACTTCCCAGGTATTGCTTATGGTGTTTTGTGTGACACTTAGAAGTGGTAACATATGGCATTGATATTGCTACTATATTTAAAATTATTTCTGGTTTTATGTGATTCATGATTCTTTATTGCTATTAAAACTTATGTATAACATTAAAACATGGAGTAAGGGGAGAAATCAGTGATTCAGGAATAAAATGGAAGGACAACTAAAATTCTGCAGCCTTCTCACAAGCATCCAGGCTGAGGAAAAGTTAGTAAAATCCAGTGCTTGGACAATGGTGTATGTGTCTGTGGGGAGGCTGGTGCATCTTGCCCTCAGCTTTTATAAACTGGCATTGAAATTTTGCATTTATAAATTTTAACATTTGGGGCATATTAAATTTATGCCATTGCCACACTTCCATTTTTGAAAGGTGCCACTGATAGATTACACAATCTTTAAATTACCTTGTCCTAGAAACTTCTATCTCCTTATGTATAAATACAACTTGAGCTTTTTCATAAGTTTGACTGAAGCAGTGTTTTGTCAAGGAAACCAGCTGCAAAATGTAGGCCTTGCTTGCTGTGGAGTACGTGGGGCCTTGCTTTAAATTGCAGCTATAGGGAGGAAAACATTGTTTTTTGAAGAAAGGAATGGGATTAAAGATGTTTCCTTCCCACATACATTCTGCTGTGTTATCACTACTTGAGCTTGTAAGCACAGCTTAGAGTTGCACACTTGCTCCTTACCACTCACTCTGTGTTGCTTAGAACTGGACCAGGCAGAAGTTCCCTGGCTGAAAACTGCAAGAGGCAGGCTGCAGAAGCATAAACCTGGCAGGCAGCAGTGCTATCTGTGGGACCTAATCTCAAAAATTGGTAACTGGCTTCTCAACCTGAGGGAATGGGCACATCAATAAGGCACAATGGGATCTTCTCAGGTGCAAACCTGCAGCATAATGCTTTGCAGTAGCTGTCTATGTGCGTGGTTTGGGGGTTTTTTTACCCTGCAGCAAATGCAAGGTAGCTTACTCCACTACCTCTGAGGGGCAAGCCACCTCTTGCTTATGGTAGGTCAGCAGCAAGCACACAGGCGTTACTGCCATATATGAGACATGCTGTAAACTTGCACATTAGCATGCCTATGCCTGTTACTTCAGTTTGAGAAATTAATTCTCAAAATATCTTGTTCTGTAAAACTTTAACTCAGGATGTGGGCAGTCACACAGGTTATACCAGTCAAGCTTGATTTGGTGTTTAAATCCATGCAGGAGACTGGGCTGTTTTTATTTCTGTTTAAATCAAGCTAATATTGGATTACCTTGTGCCAGTAAGCCTATCTCAGTGAAGACAACTTTTATTTGTTTAGTCTGAATTGCTTTAGGAGTGTTCACTGAACCATTTACGCTGATTTTAATTGTTTTGAAACAGGGGCAGCTTTTATGTGAAGGCATGCCCTATGAGTAGATTTACTGTACTCTAAACAGAAATAAAAATGGCTTACATTTAAATTTAAGTGTGTCCCAGTCTCTTACTACATTAATTTGTTCTGTTTTAAAACATCTTCCATTAAATCACTGCAACTTTCTTGAAAGATACTCCTGGGGTTTGCAAATAGACAGGTAAGAAACCCAGGAGCAAATCAACCTGTTAGACTACTTTCCTTCTAAATTCACTTCTGATTCACCTCCTCTCCTCTCATGTCCTAAATTCCCAGAGGAAGTGGAGTTTCCTCCCATGTAACTATACAGGCTCTGATAATCCCTTCTTTCATTGAAAGCATACCAACATTTCAACCTTTGGCTGAATGGAAATTTCTGTAGATCTGTGATTAAAAGAACTGAACCAAATTCAAAGCTGTCAGTCCTCCATTGCATCACTGCTTTTTGGATCTTGTTGTGAAATGGCAAAAAATGTGGAGGGAGCCTTCTCACCAGTGATCTGGATGGTGCAAATGCTGCACAGGGACTGGGGTTTGTCCACAATTCCCTGACACGATGCTGATCATGACTTGTCCTTGTCTGTGCTGATGGTGAAGCGTCCTTCAGCATCAGCGCAGTGGCTGAATCAGCAGCAATAGCCTGCCATGGGACCAAGATGTGTTAGTTCAGTCCACTGCTGCTGAAAGATTGTCAACTCCTGCTCTATTCCTTTTACAGGTAGAGCCAACATAGGTCGCATAGGTTCCTGGCTGTATTACAGGACCTTCGCCTTATCCAGGAAGTGCACAGCCCCACTAGGGGTAACACCTTGCTGGACCTGGTCCTGGCCATGGGGGATGACCTGGTGAGGGGACTGCAGGTCCTTGACTACCTGGGCAATAATGATCATCACCTGCTGGATTTCCCTATCCAACACAGGGCGTCAAGGGCTCACACCAAGGTTAAAGCCCTTGACTTCAGAAGGGCCAACTTCAGTGAGCTTAGGAGACTAGTGGGGGAGGCACTGAGGGCCCCGA